CTTGCATATAACTGATTAGATCACTTACCAATAATAACTATTATTTTAAATGAATGTTTTGTGGTTATTAATTACCCCCCCCCCCTCTCTCTCTCTCACACACACACATATATATATATATATATATATATATAGGGTTGGGTTCACGTGAGACCAAAGGTTTTTCGTGAGACCCGTAAGACCAATTCATGTTCATTGATCAACTTTATATGATAACGATCTAATGGTTAAAACTTACAAGGTGACAATTTTGTAATTATTGAGAAGTCTCGTGGCGTTTATGAATGTTCGGATCTGACGACTGTAAACCTAATCCAAGGGTTGAGAATTGGTCTTACGGGTCTCACGAAAAACCATTGGTCTCACGTGAACCCAACCCTATATATATATATATATATATATATATATATATATAGGTGAAGGTTCAAACAAGAACACCTCCATCTTACGAGAATACGAGAATATCCTTATCACATATAATAATACGTGTGAGGGGACCCTATGATGTGCTGAAATGATCGTTTCGCAATACTATTATTTGCATTTTCTACAAAACTAAAGTTTGATTACCTATATTGTCCAACATTAGAAATATAGTATTCTTTCAAGTTAAAGAAAAAGAAACTTTTTCTTTTATGTGAGACTAATTCAAATCTCTTTCTAAAAGAGTCTTTGTAGAGAAAGGAAATGTTCCTATATATAATTGACTTGATGGTTTATGTCTAGCAGGTGTAGAACTCCTCTCACACTCTCTCAAACAAAAACGAAGAGTGTGTCGAATTCCTAGATGTGGTAGATTCAGTTCTAAACTTCTAATACGATATAAAATATGTGGAACTAGTTTGAATCTCTCTAAAGACCCGTTAGGGAAAGAGAGAGAGAGAGAGAGAAAAAAGATTCCTACAGGTCTGGTGGTTCATCTCTAACCAATACAAGACCCCACTGATCATATTTACTAAGGACTCGTTCACCAAACACTTACCGGATAAATGCTTCCCGACAAGAGAGACCACCCTCACTTACCTTACTGTATAACATTTTTGGCCATCAAAAGAGATGTTGGTAAGCGTTTTAAATTCGGTAAACATTTGTCGGGTCGAGTCTTTTCTCTCACTCACCTGGTAAAATTCTCGGTCTTTATTATGTCTCTTACTAAGTAAGATTATCGGTAAGATAAGTGACATCGGATAAATGTTTAAGTAACGGGTCCTAAGTTAAAATAATGATTGCCGACAAAATAACGATTTAAAACTAAAAGAGATATGATATAGTATTGGAAAGAAATGAGTAGGAATTGACCTCTTGGATTTGTGTATGTTGTGTAGACCTGCATGTCACAGACCAGACATGACATTTATTAGATCTCTAATAATGAAAAAGCAGTAGTAGTAGCTTTTGAACATGTCAATGGAGCATAAAAAACCAAAAACACAAAGTGAAGAGACCATGTTCAAAAGCAGTTTAATAACCCCTTGAACAAACAAAAATGTTAACTTAAATATTGTCTTCCACTAAATCTAATCACAGACATTGCATGTGAAAACTGGATTAAATTCAACTTCCAATAAATCCAAACCCCTCTCCAACACACCAGATGAAGGAGGGCCTTCTTTTCGATGTATCAGGACATTTGTACATGTTTTTGTGTACCACTTATTTAATCAGCTCTCATTCTGACCACATAATTCCACTCATTTTTGTACATTTTCTACTCCCCCAACCCATTATTTGCACAAACATTCTTGTTGTCTCTTGGCCAACTGCTTGGTTTTCGACATGTGAAAGAGATTCCTAACTTGATAATAGTTTCTGATGAATTATGGCGCTTTCAATCCCATGAACAAAAGGGATTCATAAGTTGGTATCATGACATATTAAGAATCGTAATGACAACAATTCCTTTATCCCAAACTATGTTGACTGTTGATTGTTGTTTGTTGTTTGTTGTTAATCCTCCTATTTCATCGCAAGTTAGAGCAATAGAAATGCAACGGTCAGATGTTGTTTATTACCTGATTACCATCTCTTATCGGGTAAGAGGCGCTTACCTGGTCAAAGATGATGTTGTTTACCAAACCCCTCTTACCGTCTATGATGCTGACAAAGATGTTGATCTTGTAAGTTGAGAGAATTAAGAACCTCATTTTTGTACTTTTTTTTAGTCACATCATTGTCAACTCAACAAATTAAGAACTACCATAAAACTCCATAATAGTAGTGACTAATAAGAACCTCCTTTTGTGGGTTCCATGTATTATTTCAACAATAATAATATGGATATAAAAATCAAAGAAATATATAAAAAAAACTAATAGAATGTCATTTTAGACAATATTCAAGGTAAGAACCAAGGTTCTTGTACAAGAACTATCTCCAATGATATTCAATGATCAGTGTTGACCCTGACAACACTCTTACTTGGTCAAAGATTAGTATCGACACAGACTACACTCTTACCCGTTTAGTATTCACCCAATTTGTGGCGGTAAACGGGTATATGAGGAACAACCTATATCAAAATACCAAAACTACCCCTTTTGATTTGTCTTTATTTCTTATATGATGCTGTTACATTATGCAAAAAATCCTAACTTGAAAATTCCAAAACTACCCTATACCAGATCTATGATATGATACTAGATTTCCTAACAGTGTTAGGCTGCAAGTACCATAGGTTGAAAAGGAAATCGATGGTTGAATATGAAGATAGATTTGGTGCAGCGAGAAGAAAATATAATAGAAATAAAATTTGACTGGAATTGTTGGTGTGGTTGTTAATTAATTCTACCTGCATACCAAACTTTGAGAGATCAAAGAATATTACTGAATAGTTATCATCACATGACAAAGAAAGACATATTCTTTCCAATATTTTTCATTAAATTCGTTGATAATGTCAGTATAGTTGTTTGGTGGGCATCATATGCTATCGGAATAAAGAAATCAAATACAAATGATGTTGAAATTATGTTCAAGTAAATGTAAAGATTATATTTTATAAGATATATTTGATTTCATTCTTCCTATTTTTATGATTTAAGGATTTATGCGTATGAGAACCCATTAACGATCAAAATAAATAGAAAATTAGATAATTGTCATCGTATTTTTAGGTTTTTTTTAATCATATCATCAATAAAAATTGGTATAAGTCTAAAAAAACTCAATAGACTTTAGTGTTTGAAATGATTAAGTCATTCGACATTTCAAAACATGTTAAATAACTTCTTGCACTTTCTAAAACCTGTTAGATACATCATTATGACCTATAAAACTGGTTAATATGGTAAAATAATAGAAAATTTCTGAAAAAAGCTAATGAACCTTCATATTTTCAACGAGTAAGTCCCTAAACATTTTTTTAACAAAAAAAATACTTATATTTATAAAATGAAACAAATATATCAAAAAGGTACTTATATTTATAAAAAAGTATTTACATTTAAAAAAATTATTGATGAAGTTTATTTTAATTNTGAAATAAAAAAATATTTAAAAAAGATTACTGATTAAAATTAAAATATATTCCGTATATGATTTCTCAAATTAAAAAAATTAAAAAAAATTTAAAGGAATAAATTTTATCAATAATTTTTTTAAACTGTAAGCATTCTTTTGTAAATGTAATTATATTTTTGATATATTTGTTTTATTTTTATATTATAAGTACTTTTTTTGTTCAAAAAAAATATTTAGGGATTTAATCGTTCAGAATATGAAAGTCTATTGGTTTTTTTCCCATTATTTTACCACATTAACAAGTTATATAGGTCATAACGATGTATCTAACGTGTTTTAAAAAGTCCAAGAAGTTATTTAACAAGTTTTGGAATGTCCAAGAACTTATTCGTTCTAAAAAATTGTCTAAGGACTTAATCATTTCAAACATTAAACTCCATTGGATTTTATTACTAAGAAAATACCATGTTGGAATTTAAGACCATCTTCCACGAACAACAAATACAAAATTTGAGATCAAATTTGGTGTAATGAATAGTGAGAACATCTTCAATAGATAGAGAACTAAAAGTTAAAACATCTAAAAAAATTATATTCAACTACAACAAGTTCTCTATTTTAGAGATCTCAAATGTAGTTTATAAAAAAATATTATATATAAAATAATAATAATAACTTAATTTCAATGATAATTTCCTTGCGTCAAGTTTCACAGAATTCTCTAAATTTCGTCTTCTTCCTCTTGTTTTCTCCATTTTAGAGAACAAAATAAAGAAGAGCAAAATAAAGAACTTGATCTCATTTTGTCTACTTAAGAAAATTTGATGGAGATGCTCTAACCCGCCAAATTTAGATTAACACCATTCATTTACAGTAACCAAAAAAAGATTAAAAAAAATAATAAACATAGAATTTTACATTTTGGTTTAAGATTTGGTTTTTACCTGTTGGAGTAGATTTTTTTTTTTGATTAACCTAGATATCCAACCCGCTATGCGAGCCGACTAATCCCAAGACGACCACCTGCTTTGCAGATAGCCCGGAGTCACCACATTTGAACCTCCATAGTCACAAGGGGATTTTTATTTCTCCTTGGATTTGAACCAGGGACTTCCTAGTACTTTTGACCTTTGGAGTCAAACACAAACCAATCAGACACCATCCTAATGGTTTGGAGTAGATTTATTGTTTGCATCAAATTTTATATCAATTTTTATAAATTTAATGTTAGATTTGGTGTTACTCATTGGAGATACCCTAACAAGTGGATTGGAACCTAAACTTGCTAAAGTTCTCATATGCATCCTAAAAAGAGGTAATAGTCATCAAAATTTAAACAAATGAATAAAGCAAGATAAAGATTCTAAAAATCGCTAGTTAGCAGGAAGGAGGCAACTTCTTATATCGTTTTCATAGCAATCCATGTCTAAAATTTAGTCTCTTTTAGCAACCTTAATTTACTATCTAGATGCCAAAGTGGGTCCGCAAATATGCCTACCCAGACTTGAAAAATAAATGCCTCAAGACTCTATATTGACTTGGATATCTAAACTTTTCAAGAAATCTACAATCAGTATAAATGTGCTAAAATTAAACACAATTTAGGGCCCATATAAGTCAAGCTTACTTTTCTTACCTCAATATTGGCATCTTGGTTATAGGAAGTTTCCTGCTACATGTTCAGTTTGTCTTTAGTGCCTTCAATTTCCTATAAATAGAGACCACCAACTCTCTGCATTCAACATCAAAAACCACTTCACAAACACACAACACACATAGCAAAAGAGTTGAAGAAAGAAAGAAAGAAAGAAGCAGAGATGGCAAACTTCCCTTTGATCAACATGGAGAAGCTGAATGGTGGAGAGAGAGGAGCTATCATGGAGAAGATTAATGATGCTTGTGAAAACTGGGGATTCTTTGAGGTATATTACACTATCATATATATATATATATATATATATATACACACACACACACATACATATATGCATTCATATTCATGTGGATTTAACAGTTTATATGTTTTATGTATGTTTAGATGGTGAACCATGGGATTTCTCATGAGTTAATGGACAAAGTGGAAAGAATGACAAAGGAACACTACAAGAAGTGTATGGAGCAAAGGTTCAAAGAAATGGTGGCAGCCAAAGCATTAGAAGGTGTTAAGGCGGAAGTTACCGATATGGATTGGGAGAGCACTTTCTTCTTGCGCCATCTCCCGATCTCGAATATCTCTGAAATCCCTGATCTTGAGGATGAATACAGGTAAACAAGAAAAAAGTTTATATGGGTGTTACCGTAATATATTATATAAGGAATATATGATGATATGAACACGAAATAATTATATGTTTTTGTGGGATAATGGTGCAGGACTTTAATGAAGGAATTTGCTGGCAAACTAGAAAATTTAGCTGAGGAGCTTTTGGATTTGTTGTGTGAGAATCTTGGATTGGAGAAAGGTTACCTGAAGAAAGCCTTCTATGGATCAAAGGGCCCGAATTTTGGAACCAAAGTTAGCAACTACCCACCATGCCCCACCCCTGATTTGATCAAGGGTCTCAGAGCACATACCGATGCCGGTGGCATTATTTTGCTGTTCCAAGATGACACAGTCAGCGGTCTCCAGCTTCTCAAGGACGGTGAATGGATCGATGTTCCACCGATGCGCCATTCCATCGTCATCAACCTTGGTGACCAAATTGAGGTAATCATCAACCCTGTCCATATTAAGAAAATCTATGTCAGGGCCACCCGGGATTTTCCTGGCTCTTATCTTCAGAGCCATTTGGATTTTTCTTGGCTGTTATCTGTGGGGGCACCGAGATTTGCTATTATCTTTGGGGCCACCGAGATTTCTTGGCTATTATCTTCGGGGCCACAAGGATTTCCTAGTTGTTATATTCAGGGCTCCATGGGATTAGTCAAGGTGCTGGTAGAGACACCCATGGTCACCATAAAAAAATAGGATTCTAATCAAACTCATGGAAGGTAATTTTGAAAGATTCTTTAAAATGAAAACCTGAATGTTTTACATATCGAATTTGCAGGTGATTACCAATGGAAGGTACAAGAGTGTGATGCACAGAGTTATTGCTCAAACCGATGGAACAAGAATGTCAATTGCATCTTTCTACAATCCAGGAAATGATGCTGTGATATATCCAGCACCAGCATTGTTGGAGAAGGAGCCAATAGAGAAAGAACAATCTTACCCAAAATTTGTATTTGATGATTACATGAAACTGTATGCAGGCTTGAAGTTTCAGGCAAAGGAGCCAAGGTTTGAAGCCATGAAAGCAGTGGAAGCCAATGTCAGTTTGGGTCCTGTGGCAACAGCTTAGATATATTATGTTTGAAAGAATAGAAATTTATATACTTTTTTCTATTTTTCATATCTTTAAGGGGTGTCAGCAATCTATAGAAATATGTTTTTATAATTTTAGCCAGTTATCTTCTACCATAGAAAAGTGTGCTTACTACATATAGAATAATGACAAAAGAGTGTTGTACTAATGTTCAATTAATTTTTTGAAATAAAATAGTATCTGGTGTGCAATTGTCTACCTGCTCCTTCACATTTACAATACTATTTTATCTTTGGCTAACCCTATTATGATAATATATCTTCGAAAGACTAATTATAACCGAAAGGGCAAAAGATAACTAGCGAATCTATAGCGAATCTATAGTAATATATCTTTGGCTAACCCTATTATAATAATATATCTTCGAAAGACTAATTATAACCGAAAGGGCAAAAGATAACTAGCGAATCTATAGTAAAATTTGGACCTGTGAAACTTGTTAAGGATCCGCATAAACCATTATAAAGATCATCTCCAAAAATGATCCTGCTTGCAAATTTGGCAGGAGACCAAGAATAAAGAATCAGGGAGCACAACACACCTCTCTCTAGTCCTCACCAACCAAACCCCATAAAAAGGAAGACAGAAAGGCATTGTTACAAGAGAATTATTGATGGCATAGAGCATATTGTCACTAGATGATGGTTAGTCGGAGACATCACTTTCTCATCACATAACAGGGTTATTAGCTAAATGACCTCCTAACAAGGGATTTTAAATCCATGACATACTGAGAGGCTTATTAGACATTCTTGTGTATGGAAGTGGCATTCTTTTGATAAATAGTGGCATTCTCAAACCTGTCAGAAGGTCATGGATTTTTTCTTTAAAAAACTTGTCAGAAAGTCATTGAAGACCGAAGGACCTGAACAGAACAACATGTTGTCACTGAGAATTTGTAGGTTATAATCATCAAAGTTATGAGAAGCTATAAAGTTATGATTTGGGTCAAGCATGAAAGTTGTTCAACTTGGACTATTTGGGCTATTGATCTTAAATGAAAATTTATTTCACAACATAGCCTTCCAATAAGTTTGGTTGTGTTCTGGTATACCGAAGTGACATTCTTCTTTTAAGTTGTGGCATTCTAAAACCTGTCAGGTCATGGATCTAAAAGAAAATCGTAAGGTCATTCAACCAAAGCACCCGTCCAACTTAGTCTTGTTACCATCTTAGAACATCATAATTTGGCCTATTTATAGCCAAGTGGGAAAGTATAGAACCAAGAAAAATAGAAACTAGAAAGACCTGCCAATAGAATTGTGTTTTATCTTGGCTTAAAATTAACAACAGAATAAAGATCTTCTAAAAGAACAAGTATTCAGTGAGAGCAAACTTGAAGACATAAATAAGAAATTTCAAGATCATAGAAGGAACCTTTAGTGTTCAACTTGATATATCAAGTTCAACTTTGCTTTGTAGGCAATTGTTTAAACGGGTTATTTAGCTTAATGACCTCCTGACAACTATTTTTTAAATCCCTGACCTTCTCATAACTTTCAAGGCATTCTTCTATATGGAAGAGGCATTCTTCTGTTAAGCAGCGACATTCTCAAAATTGTCCGAAGGTCATAGATTTAAAAAAAAACTTGATCCTAATTTGAACTCTAGTACTCTACCTCAGCATTGTAATTTGTTAGGTGGAGTGGCTTCACTAAGAAAGTAAAAAGGAATAGGCAGAAGGACCTTTTTAGTGATCAAATCATTTCTCTTGCTTCAGAGTGCAACAGGACCCCCTTCAGAAGGAGAACTGCAAGCACTCACAAAAGAAAAGGTAACATGCACAAGGAGCACTATCAGCAGACCATAAAGTTCTCATTACTTATATCATGAAATATATATTTGATAAACTTCCATTAACAAAAGCAATAATCCCCACCGTATATACGCTCTGCCGCCATTGCTTTCTGCAAGAGGAATTAAATAGAAGAGAATCTTGCAAGGAAGTCATTAGCAATTCTACAATTAATAAAGGGCATAAGGTCCACAACGAAAAGCAGGTATAATTATGCACATTTATAAAGTAAAAGGTCTTTAGAAACCAAAAGAAGACAGAGTTGCATGGATATTGGTTGCATCTATGCAGCGAACTTTAGCATAATAAAAAGAAACCACCAATGTCACTTTTGCATTTCGGAAAGTAAGAGGTTTTAGTTTCCAATGTAAATGAACTCTAGCCATGGGTTGGAGGGTATACTATTTAGCAACATACAGGATAAACAACATTGAAACCTTTTATACATATTAAACATAAGATTCTTACAACTTGCATGTACTAATGAATAAGAAACCATATACTTTCTTAAGGATGTCGATAATCTAAGGATTTGAATATACTAGGTATGGTAACCAATCATTCGTTGCAAAGCAGGTATATTAGGTCCAAATTTAACGGTAACTACGAGGATTTTAAAGGGGAAATGTGGAATAAACATAACCTCCCTTCTCTCCTAAGGGCTCTTTTGAAGAGTAATCTAATGGGACTCCACATATTCTCATATGGTATCAGAGCCAATGTCTACTACTCTAGGGATTCAACACTCCAGGACAATTTGTACCCGTCCAACCTCAATTAGAGGGGGATGTGTTGGAGTCTCACAACAGCTAGACTTGGACCATTTCTTCTCAATATATGTTGAAACCTCCTTTCCTCAAGGGCTCTTTTGGAGAACAATCTAATGAGGTTCCACATATTCTCACAATCTCACAATGAGAACCATCAGTTCAGTACCTAATTTCATATATGCATGTTCATGGAAATACATGATTAACATGGTCCAGGAAAGAAATATTTTCCTTCTACACATGGTGAGCCACATTTCAGTTCTTCTCGAGTACAAAAACTTGAATGTTGTCTCGTGAACTGAACAACTTACACTTGGTGCGAAAGAAAAGGTATACAAGCTTGAAGGCTATGTTAAATTGCATCAAGAAGGGTTCCTCATATTGATAGTCGGCACAAAAGTATTAAAATACCTCTGCATGGTTTCAGATTACTAATAAACCAAACAGTATATGGGGGGTGTACTTAGATGTGACCTCTACCCAAAAGAGTAAAGTAGTTGTTTCTGTGAAGACCCCCGGGTAGTGAAAAGTGTGTGAAAGGGAGAAATACAGTACCGTCTGATTACTAATAGACGATGGTAAATATATCGTCTAATTAGGAGGAAAAAGAGGTCTTTGACTCTCACTTGGTATATCGTACTTTGAAGGCCTTCCACGATGAGGGAGATCCAGGTTCTGATTTATTCTTGGACTTGTTAGTGAAGCCTAACTTTTATTTGGGACTCTGCTATAATGAAGCAGGAGTGTGCTTTATTCCCAATGATGCTGGTTTTGTTATCTTGCGATATAGATTTGAACTCAATCCACTCACCGTTCACTACAAGTAATCTACTAATTTGCTTGCTAATCCTACTTGTAGAAGAGAAAAACATAAAGAAGGCACACAACCAAAATGGAACCCATGCAATGCACTATTAGACAGATCCTTGTTACTTCTATACAAGTTTCATCTGTCTGCTTGCAAATTAAAATTGACAATGGAAATCAGCATGCATGTATGTTGCAAATTGTTGGAGTCCCACATCAGCTAGACTTGGACCATTTCTTCTTAATATGTGTCGGAACCTCCCTTCTCTCTTCCAGGCCTTTTTTGGAGAAGAATAATGGGGATCCACATATTCTCACATAGTATCAGAGGCAAGGTGTACCGGTCTAGGGTTTCAACACTCTCGGACAATTTGCGTCCATCTAGCCTCCATTGGAGGGGGCATGTTGGAGTCCCACATTGGCTAGACTTGGACCATTTCTCATCAATATATGTTTGAACAACCCTTCTCTCCTCAAGGGCTCTTATGGAAAGTATTCTAATGTGGTTCCACATATTCTAACACAGATGTCCAACATTGCTGAAGTTATGCTAGCAACCAGAGAGAGAGAGAGAACAAAAAGAGTCACTAGGCCCATATGGAACCCGTGTAATATGGTTTAGGAGGATGTGTATTAAACTAATAACCAAGGAAGGATAGAGAATCATATATATATATATAGCTATTTTATAGAAATTCAATCAATGAATAGTTACAATGACTCCCATAATTGTTATTTTTTGTTCTCTTTCAAAATAGAGGAGAATCACAGAGTTAGGCCTCTCTGATTGCAAAAGCGTTCTTAAATACATAAGACACATAATTCAGTAATATAGTCATATAATTGCTCAACAACGACCTAGAAACATAAAAGTTCATCAAAATCAAGCTCATGAATCCCTACATGCTTTCTTGAATCACAAGTGCTTGAGGTCAACAAGAAGAATAGGGAATCAGATGAAGATCCCCAAGACTACTGATGACGAAAAATATCATTTCTGCATTTGCATTGATGGTCTATACATATGGAAGAACATATCTATCTAAAAATATTTTTTTTATTAAGTTACGTTGGCTCCTTTCAATAGGTTACAAATGATTAAACATCTTAGCAAATGATAGAATCAACTAGTGGATAGCAATGGGAGCAGAGAGAACTCATAGTCCTAACAGTAAGAAAAATCTATTTGTGTAATCCTCAATGAACGGCAAACATCATCCTGAATGCTAAATATATTCGCGGAAATCATCGCCTATTCCAGTTTATTCTGACCCAAATAGCCACTAGCCAAAGGACATGTAGCTCCTCAGAATAGGTTTTACCTCTTCAAGCTAGAGGCATCAAACAATTCCATAAACCTCTGGTCTGAGACTCTGGCTTTGGCAGCTGCAAACCTCTGGTATTCATCAAAAATAGAAAGTAGACTCCATCTCTGCATTTTTCTTAAGCATCCCACAAGACAACCAGTTCGATGCTGAAGCAAGGGCAACAACGAATATTGTTGTTAAAGATGAAACCAAGAATAGGTGATGGGACAGAAAAGAATCAAATATGGCAGTAAGAGACATACCTTCCCTCTTTTGCAATGAATCAACAAAGGATGATTTCTTACATCTGCAGAGAACAGATAGAAGAATAAGAAAAATCCAAATTAGTTTGCCATCTAAACCCCATGAAGAAATACCATGATAAGAATAGATGTATACCAAGGACAACTTTTAATGCTTCTCGAATGGTATCCTCAGGAATATCAACAAAAGGTTCCTGCATGATAATGCCATGAAATATACTGAAGATACAGAATAATGTTTGAATGACTATTTGCTTAAAGAAAAACATTTCAAACAACATATACTCTAAACTAGAGCTTTGTAAGTCTATTAGGTTTGCTTGCATAGCAGGAGCAGAAGTAATAAAGCTTGATGCAAATGAGTTATATAATCCAATAAGATGCAGTTGCATGTTATATCTTTGAAACAACATCAAGTAATCTCGTGTGGCTTGATAAACTTGCCATGTTTGACGATTAACACGATCCATACACTTGTCTCCAGCATGTCAATGAAGTCATGAACAAGTACGAAACTAGTGATGTTCAATTATTCAAAACATTCAGTTCTTAGCAAATCACTACATAACAATTTCAAGAACATATTACATAACATGTAGGGGATACACATGTTTCAAGGTGTACAACCGCAAAGGATATGAGAGCTTACATAAACTGGGACCAACATCGATAGGAAACTAGGAGTTTGGAAATAACAAAATAATATAGGACTTGAGAACCAATAACAATTAAATCACAACTCGGTTACAATATCAAGTCCTATCCTACAAACAACAACAAAGCAGTTCAAATGATAATAGAATGAACACATACTAAGATAAATAAATAAATATATATGTATATATATATATATATATATATAAGAAAATGAACTTAGTGATGTAGTTGGAGTCATGCAACATCCACTAGTCTTAAACATCACATATTCAGACAATATGCCATATACCAAATACTTTCTGGTCGCATTGATGTGCATGCATTAAACAATTAAGTAGCAACACATTGACCAATTCAAGATTTCAAGTAAATCTAGTTAGGATCTTATGCTCACTCCTAATTCACTAGAATTCTAACAGAATAGTAGCCATGTAAAAAAAATTATCTTTTATTCAACCACTATAACCCTCAAGTCCCAAGCAACTTTACATATTTCGGTCTGCTGAGACAAAATAGCATCCTGATAACCTAATATGGAGCTTGTCTTTCAAAATGATGGAGACAGCAAGTTTTGAAACTTTAACCATAGCACATGACAGAACAAAAGAAGAACCAACTATGTTACTATTATATGACTTTCTATCCCAATCATTAGGAAAGATACTTGCATCAATTATAATCTACTTAGTGGAAAGTCCAATAACGTAATTGTTGCATATATAGCAGAAATAAGAAAACCATATTTGCTTTATGCATGCTTTTCAAAATCATACAGCTTGGTTTGATTCACAAAGCAGAGGATGCAAAACATTCAGAATCCTATCTAATTTGCAACTCATTGCTTACCCTTATATCAGAAAATCACATGGCATTTTATGATTTAATAAACTTCCCCTTGATTTATTACCCATTTGTGTTCAGTGATCCAAAACATATTAATAGCTACAACATGATGGAGGTTCTCTGTTGGTATTTGGTAAAGTTGTAACAGAGACATCCTCTTGTGACTAATATATGTATTTTTTGGTTAATACGTTACTAGAATGCTTACCTTTTTCATTAATTAAGTATATATATTTCAGAAAGTGTTAAAGAGGCTGATTCAGCATTACCAATTTGATTCATGAATTGACACTACAATTTTATGAAAAACTGTCTTATTTCATATCAAAATTAAATGGACATACTTTAATTTGTAAGACAAATCAGTGGCTACACTCCAGCATCACAATTAATATCGATTTATGGAACTTCGAAAGTGGGCCTGAAGTCTAAAGAGAAGAAGTGTTTAGACATACAACGTATAGTTACTCTACTAGCAGCATATATGGTAATTACAAAATTAGCCTATTTATTATTATTCAATTCATCTTGAGGGTCGAATTTATAAGCATATAATAATATAATATATCGTGTTTTTAAGGAACATAATTCTCGTGTTTGATAAACGAAGGTAGAATCACAGGATTTTGAGCCTTCAACAGTATAGATGATGAATCGAAGGAGAATATTTCAAATCGATCCGCGGAATAATTGAAACGCGAATGACCAGTAGAAGAATAAGAAAGTAATCATGATAAGATAACCATCAGATCTCAACGAATCTCATAACTCCAGCTCGATATCATATGATCTAATACAAAAAACTTATCATCATAGAGAACTTGGAATTCTCAGTTAATCTTCAGATCAAGTAAATAAAAGTAACATTATATATAGCAATTACTGGATCGCAATCCGTACCTTAGTGCCTTCAATACCAAACTGAAGCAACTGAATCCGATTAGACTTCAAAAACTCCAAGTTATGCTCCGGATATGCTTCAGGACACAGATATCTAGAACATAAAACCCTCGAAACTTTAAAAATCGTTTTAACATATAAATGTGATGCGAAAGCTCATAACCAACGATACATGATTTCTCCTCCAACGCACATGTACGTATTGATCCAAAAATCAAAGATCAGAAGTCATAACCTCTTCAGTTTGCAATTATGACGTTATCCGGTAGTCAATCAGGTTTACGAGTAAATAATGACTGACTTACACGATAGAGCGGAGGCCTAGGGCTTTAAGGTACGCAAAGTTGGCAGACTCCGGGAAACCGGAACGGTAGATGCCATAATCGACCATGGAGAAGTTAACAGGAGGATATAGCTCATCGCCGTTAGCATCCACCTTTCCGGTAACCATTGCTGAGAGCTTGGGAAGCGGTTCAACGAACTTGATGGCTCTGCACTTATCACCACCTTCTTGTTTGACTTCTTGGTCCACTTTCATGGTATGAGAATCACAGAGAGAAGATCTAGAGAGAGAAAACATGGAGAAGAAGAAGAATATTCCAGGAGTATTTCCGGTCTACGGCAGTTATAGAATGCGACAGAGAGCACCGGAGCAGCATATTTATAGGGTTCGGAAGATGGTTTAATGTGCAATGGTCCCTAGAATATAATATGTTTTTTTATTAATAAAAAGTAATCTCCTTTTCAAATGATTCATGATACGCACATGCATATCCTCAAAAAAATGTAACTTAAGAATATTTATAATTAAATTATTATTTATTAATATCCCTTTTTTAATATTAAAAAGTCTGAATTCGTTATTAACTAATTTTTTTTTTTACTTTTAATATAATTATCATATAGAAATTATGATTGTAGTACATATCAAGTTCCTTGCATACTCATCTAGGGCTACAATTATGCAGTACCGATAAAATCTAACACTATCAATTATTTATCGGGTAAGATTTTTAGTCCATTAAAACAGCATTGTATGCAACAATTTACCCGATAATCATTTACCATGGTAAGAGTCGTCGCTCTCACTTACCGGGTAAGATTATTGGTCTTTGTCTCGTTATTACCAGGTAAGATTGTTGGTCCTTACCCATCCGGTAAGATTTGTGACGTGGTAAGCGCTTACATGGGCGGACCTACCATGGTGGTTATGGTGGCATGTGCCACCGTATTATTTCTCCGTCGAAGGGTAAAAAAATTAGGTTTGTGAAATGTGGAACAGTATTAATCTGTTGTGTGCCATCGTATGTATTTTAAAACTACGATGAGAACAAGTTTTATTTGGTAGAGTTGATTTGTAAGGTTTTTATTCCACTCAAGACCCAAATTCAAATATTGTTAGCGTCATTTTCTTAGTCAAATAGTGTCACCAATTAGAAAAAAAAAATCCGTATATTTGTTTCTTATGGTCAACCAGTGCCACTATTTGAAATTTTTTCGCTATAGTTTTTTTCTTATAGCCAAATGGTGCCACCGTTTGAAAAAAAAATTCTGAGTTCGTCCCTGAACGCTTACCCGAGTAAGTGTTTGGTAAACGGTTCCTTGCATGCTTATAGGTATTTTATGGTTATGCCGACGATAGGAAGATTTGGTAACTGATCTATAGTGCTAAAGCAAGAAAAGGCATAGAGTTACGTTATGTGTAGAAAGATATAGCACGTCCAGAACTAGTGGATGTATAATCTTCGATCCTCATTGGTGCTCGATTTTCCAGATGTTGGATTTAATTTTCATTGGTCACTGTTCACTAATTCAAATCTCATCAGGGTCATTTGAGATCTGATTGGGTTTAAACTCAGGGTCTTATCTGATTAGTCGAGGTACGCATAAATAGGTCCAGATACCTATGATTATAACAGAACAAATGGATGCACCATGGGACGTTTGGATGCTTTGGGATCATAAGCTAGTAACGCATATAACTGTATTGATATGAATGCATTTGATGTATGATGTGCATGTAAAGGGCGTGTTAGATGAATGCGGGTAAGTCTCGATGCTTAACTGATACATATTGATTTCTTAACATAAAAAACAATAGTTTGAGACGTAAATCCATGTGGAACTCTATCTAAACACTGATTTTGGTATAGTTGTGTATCTGAGCAGTAAAAGTATACAGTAATAACATCATTAATCCATAAAGGTCAAATCAACACCGTCCATTTGTTTTTTTAAGAATGGATCATGATCTTATTTTAATAAAATAGATGATTTTTAAATCTAATTTATTTTTGAAATAAATAAAATCTAAAAAGTTAATAAGCATATACAAAAAGGCTCGAATATTTTGGCCCGTCAATATGCTTATTTTAAAGTTTTAATGGCAATCGAATAAAATAAATCTATGAAATATTTATTTTCCATTTTATCTTCTAGTTTCCTTATTTATTTGATTTAATTGTCAAATTAATCTATACTATATTATAAAGCATTTGACAAAAACTTTTAAAACCACTTTTTATGCATAAAATACTTATTTATTGATCCATGTTACTTAAACTCAATATTACAGGTAGATTGTGCATAAGTACAACTTATTAAAGCTCCATATCTAAATTTGTGTAACTAACTGCAGATGAACATAATCAAATACATGATAAACATCAGATTTTAAATATAAAAATCTAAAATATAATTAGAATAATTATCGAGTTATAACAGAATACTTAATTATTATCTTTGTAAAATTTTATATTATTAAACCAAAAATAAATTATTTTATTATTAAATTTAAATTATATTATATTAAGAAAAAATAAATTAAAAAATTACATAAAAAATGAGAACTTTTAAATAGTTAATTTATATCAACATTATTGATATAGTGTTTTTCAAAATTTTATTACATCTTCAAATTTATATTTTATTCAAAAATAAAATCATTATTGTTTTCTTAAAAACACATAAAATCGTACGATAACATAGACAAAGACAAATAATAAAATAGAACATTAAAATCGAGATGTGTCTCGCTACATTGCACGAGTACTCTTCTAATATATATATATATATATATATATATATAATTTATTGAATTTTTTTATAAAAATGGGAACCAAATCAAAAGTTAAAATGAAATAATATTGTAAATAGGAAAAACGAAATTATTTTATAAGTAGATAGAGGTGTTAATTAATTAAAATCTAATAAATCTAAGTAGTCCAATCTCTATACAGTTATTTATTGGATTTTCTATTTTTTGATCCGATCCAATCTGATTATTAGTAGTAGATTAGTTTCATCGATTGGATATAACTGATGGTAATCTATTAAACTGAATTTGATCTATCTAATATTTTGATCTGATTTTCAACCAATTAACTATATGTTTTCTTAATTTCTTAAAAAAAAAAGTTACATATAAATATCGATTGAAAACAATATCGCAAAATGGTAATAATTATATATATATATATATATATAGACTTGGGATCATGTGAGACCAGCCTGTTTTCGTGAGACCCGTGAGACCAGTATTTTACACGTAAACTTCACAGCAAAAATGTTGTGAAGGTGACTTTTTTAAAACCTTCACAGTGTTTTTGCTGTGAAGGTTTGATTTTTTTAAACCTTCACAGTGTTTTTGCTGTGAAGTTTACGTGTAAAATGTTGGTCTCACGGGTCTCACGAAAACAGGCTGGTCTCACGTGAACCCAACCCTATAT